TGTCAACGGCCATGCTCTCGGAGGCAATCGCCAACATCCGCCTCTCGCTGTCTCGGAATCTTCTGCAACACTTGCTACCTCGTGAGAAGATTGTGGAGACACTGACGGTTCTACATCAATTCTTCTTGCTAGGAAGAGGAGAGTTCGCCCTAACCCTGATTGCAGAGGCAGATGACAAGATCTCATCTCGACATAAAGGCTCGCAGGTAACAAAGTCGGGCCAATCTGTCAAGGCGGTTGTGATCAAGGAAGCGGAGATAACCCAGGTCCTCGCACGCTCCTTCTCCGTTCTGTCGACCTTATCTAGCGAAGACGAACACACAGATGATATCTTGGACGTTGCAGCTCAGCTCCTACATCTCAGCGTTAACAGCTCGTCTAATAATCGCCCTGGAACACCAGGGCGCGCTAAGGATGCGGACTCGATGCTTCCACAACTTGCTAACATGTCTTTCGACGACCTACTGCTGTCTGTACCAACGTCTTTAACGATGGACATCCGTTCACCACTTGACCTCTTCATAACAAAAGCAGACCTCGACGTTTACTCATCGATCAATGCTTCCCTTCTCGCAGTCCGGAGAGCCCATCTGCATTTAGCAGAACTGTGGCGATACAGTTCAATACGGAGAGATCATCCTTGTCCGCCTGGATATCAATACAGCAATTCCGCGCATGGTAAAGCAATGCTGAAGCGGCGACGACAACGCACTACGAAACGGGCGCAGGACATGCGGAAGATATGGGCTACATGCGCAGCCGCGATCTTCTTCTTTGCGGAGAGCGAAGCTTACTTTCATGGTGCGGTCGTACAACAATCCTTCGGTCATTTCATAGCATGGGTTACCGGTCCTCAAGTTCCTTCAACCGCGGAATCGTTGTCAGCAGCTTCCGACCATTTAAGTACCACTAGCTTCCGCCAATCGATGACAGAAGGAAGTCTACGGCAACAGCATGATCCAGAAGCATTGGCCTCAGCACATCGCCGCTTTCTGTCTTCGGTCGCGTACTCGCTTCTGCTTACCGATCAAGCCTTCACAAAAGCGTTGCGTACCTTGTGCACTCACGTAGACGAGTTAGTGGCATACATCAAACGTCTTACCAAGATCCAGCAGAATCTGGACCTAGAAGAAGACGAAGGTGTGGAGGACTATGCGCAAAACTACAAGAAAGAAGAGCGCGAGGTCAGCCTGGAGATGGACCGGGCAAGGAGGAGGCTAGATAGCGACCTCAAGACACTCGTAGAGCGGCTCCGTGAGGTCGATAGCGAGAGGATTGGAGCTTCTGCACCTGGCACATCAATTGGAGCGGCAACAGAGGAAGGTGCCTATGAACCTTTGAGAGTAGGAGGTATCGACCGTCTTTTGATGAAGCTGGACTGGAGCGGCGAGGACGAAGAAGAGGAGACCGAGGACTTGATCGATCTTTAACGTACATGGCTTTGTCCTCGTCAAAGGTTTTGAGGGATTACTATCTTCGCGATCCTTGTTGACTCTTGGCACTGTACGATGACCAATGTGGTAACGGCGGAAAGCGCGTTGACTGTGCGGTCGCGATGCCTCCGCATGGGATGAACTTTCTTATAATGTCAACATGGGTGGGTATCGTCCAGGCATCATCTAGGTCGTCTCCCACCATTCTATCATCACGTTCATCACACCACATCATACCGCGCCAATATCTCATCAACATTGCTCTCTTGCATCAATACTGCGTATGTACCAGTGTTCACGCTCACGATCCGACACTAACAACGCTAGGTCCGCTCGAAACACAATTCCTTCCAATCCGCCTTTGTGTTCAACATGACTCAATACGCTCACTGCGCCACAAGAGATTTCGGCAAATATCCATTTCGCAATTCCGACCGTTCTTTCTTCGGCTTTGTACGGGGGATCGGAAAACGTGTCCCCACCGAACGCGACGACCGTCCAGCATGTCTCCCAGCCACGTCAAACGAGGCATTGCCGAGACGACGCCATTATATCTACCCGCGAGAAGACTCTGGAGTATACATGCCCACAGGGCCGGCCGAAATAACGGGCAAAAGCTCTTTGTCGACTCCTCATCCGCAGTCACAACATCCGCAGTCACAAAATCCGCAGTCACAATTGAATCCTTTCGAGGATGCCCAATACGAATACGGTGCTACCATCTCTGAGACGCAGCCGTCACCTGCACCACTGGGAGGCCCGCGGTATATCACCTCTGATCCATCTGCAGTCACGACCATAGCGGAGTCAAGGGGTCGCAGGGGCTACCGGAGACGCCTACGAGCTCGAATCTGGGCTATGTTCAGAGGAGAGGTGATCGTTTGCGGGCACCGGCCGTCCAGCGATAGAGCGCCTCTCCTAGGAGGGGAAGGAACACACCTCCGACGTGGCACTGTGCGCGGACAATTACTTATGGACCCGCAGGACGAGAGCGACGATTATCGTCTTGGTCATGAGGCTGCGCTGATTTGAGGGTGGTTTTGTGTACCATGAGGTGGCTGTAATGCTTGTATTCTTTCGCACGTGCCCAGTAATTGAACCATCTTTCCAACAGCCATGCAAAACACAATGAGGTCGGACTGATGTATTTGTTACACATTTTCACTCAAAAAGTGCGACTACTCTAGACTGCGTTGCACTTGCTACATATAGGGTCATTGTCATATCACTAGCATTAATGAAGCGATAATGTCAAGATCAAAATTCACAGGAAACAAAGATTTGAGGGTGGCAAGGGGTGTTACAACCAAGCAGCAAAAAGATGTTTGTGGTTTGCCCCACATGAGAATCGAACGCAAGGACAAAAAAGATGTTGTTGAGGTCGTGCCCGGGTTCTGTTCAATTGTTAGAATGTGACATTGAGCAGTGGAACGCAGTGGACATACCGAACCGGGGTTACCAGAAAGTTTGATAGAAGTCAAAATCTGGAGTGATAACCACTACCTGTGTTGGCGGTTAGACAGACTTCTTGAGAACAGGGTTGGAGGAAACGTACACTACACAACCGTGTTTCTGGTGTTTGATGACAGAATCGAGAAAAGTACAAATTATATAGTTAATTTTCACGTCGCATCAGTAGCCACCAGAGTCCCACGGACCGATGCTCAAGATCCAATACTCTGGTGTGTGGCGAGCGGGGTCGCAGATGTGTGGAGCGTGGCTTAGCCGAAACGCGGAGCTTGTGGACAAGCTGGCCATCTCACATGCTTTCAATAAGCATCGTTTGCGCTCGATGCTGCATCGTCTGAATTCCTTCGATCCCCAAAAGCCCATCGCGTGCTCTTGCATCGAGTCGGTATGCTGTCGCTAGTCGAAGCATGAGATATGTGCAGCGAATCGTTAACAAGTCTCAGATCCATTGAGACGCGTCTTTGCCACGCCACAAACACGCGTCTCTACCGAGCCGACGCCACAAACATCTGCTTGGATGGTCTGCGCCAATCCTGGGCTTACGTAGCGATAAAGATGAAGAGAGACGGCGCAGGCGGTGGACGACGAGCAAAACAAGGTCCAGCCTCAGAAGGATGCAAGGGTCACACAAAGGGTAAGAACGGATGGGTATCGCATCCCAAATTGGACGCCAAGACATACGTCAGATAATGGTAATTCGCAGGAGGCAAGGTACTTGCGATATGTTACCTTGAGAAGCAAACAAGAGCCGCATGTCTTCTGCTTCTTTTGCTTGCGCGATCCTAGATCGTTAACGTCCCTGCCTACAAGCCGACTAACAATGACTGTCCAGCTCAATATCTTCTCCGCCAAGGCAACTTTCAACTTCACAAGCAACAAACCGGCAACTAGCGGCCCCGAGTTTACAGAAGTCGTTCGTGCGGGAGATGGTCATGACAAGTCTCGGGACCAGTCGCTGTCGGCTTCTAATAAGACTTTCGTAGATGAACACGAAGATGTCATCGCGTTCAAGACGATCAACTGGCTAGCCGGAGTTGGGGATATATGCAACGGCACCTCCAGAGAACCCGGCGAGGTTAACGCTACACTCCAATCTCACGATAATAAGCGCAGCATAGAAACGAGAAGGAACACGAAAGTGATCGCGCATCGTAACGTTCAGGCCAGGTCCAACACTCGACGAAGTGCGCTCCGCCGGCATTGCGACTTCTGGGACGCCGATCAGGACGGAGTGATCTACCCATGGGACATATTCATTGGCTTCCGTAAACTCGGCTTCAACATTGCTTTATGTCTATGGGCAGCGGTTACCATGGCTATGTGCTCATCTTACAGCACCCAGAGTTCTTTCCTGCCGCACCCGCTGTTTGCCATCTACCTTGATAATGTCAACCGCAACAGACATGGAAGCACCACTGGCGCGTACGACTTGGACGCCGAGCTGGACACGCGACGCTTCGATGCGATATTCGAGAAATATGCGGAGGGCAAGGACTACCTGACCAGGCGAGATCTATACGACATTTGGGCAGGCCAATGTTGCGCGAATGATTTCTTCGGATGGTTTGCGGGGGCCTTGGAATGTGAGTCGTGGCTTATCACCTCACGGACTGAGCATACGATACTGACATTTAACAGGGATAGCCATGTACATCCTGCTATGGCCACAAGACGGAAGGATGCGCAAGCACGATATTCGAGGAGTATATGATGGTACCATCTTCTGGAGAATCGCTGAAACCCGCTCCCAAAGTTCACGGTCATGAGATTGCGGAAGCTTATGATTGGCTCCACCGGGGCCATACACGACCCAGAGAATTTAATTTACCAACAACCCTTTGGTACGACCACATTAAAGTTTGGATGTGACAAACTTAAGCAGCTAAACGAAACACACATTAACTCCCCACTGCAATTCAGCGTCTGCCCGAATGTGTCCTTTCCATTGAATTGTTGTTGCAAGAATCAAACTTACGCTAGGTCTTAGATCTCCAAAGTGGTAGTCTCGAAATTGCCACATCAGCCCATAGATATATACCCTCTAAGGTCTGTATCACCGCTACACAAGTTCTCGCCTCAGAAATTCCCGCCGTCACAATGCGCCACCCCGAGCCCTGCCCCTCCTCGGATTCTATCACCTCGATCAGTGTTGTCAAGAACCAGAAGCTTGCGCGAGACCGATATCGAGCCTTGAGCTGGAGCCAGTTCAAAGTACCGTCTTCCGACAGTTTTATCCGCGTGGATACCCGCGATGATACGCCCGCACACGCCTTGCCAAATGAGAACGATGGATTCACTGTCGTGCGCCAGTACTTGTACGATGTGCTCACCCACACAGGCTGGGGTATAGGCTATGAGTGCCCTGCAGCGATAAGGGCAACGGTGGAAAGCTGGTATGGGCATGGAGGTTATTTCAAGGCCCAATGTGTAGCAGAAGATGGATTATTGGATCTTTGTCCCATGAAAGGAAAAGATGGCGAAGGAAACGAAGTGTGGTTCGAGGATCGACTGAGAAACAAGATCAGGGAATGTGTCAGACACGAGAGCAGCATGTTATTGTATCGCGAGACTGAGCTGGACGACGCGATGATTGAAGCAGATACATGCGTGGGCGATAACATTCCTGACATCAGTGTACGGGAACAGGGCTGCCAGGATTACGATGGAGAGGAAAGCATATACTCGGTAGTCCAACCGTCGATCAATCTCGACGAGGATGCAATGACCATTGCTCCCCATGAAGACCAGGACGACGACCTCGACCCTTTAGCACCTCATGTACACCGCAGCGACAGCGCAAGATTTTCGGGAACAGTCGGATCAGGGACACGGACCAGCAAAGACTTCGTATCATCCGACCCTGAGCCCAGGGTAAACGCGCCTTCCGAGATCACGCATGAACTCACATTCCAGGTTCCTACGCCAAATTTAGAGCAATCAAAGAAGAGGAAAGAACGGTCGCATGAAAGTTCAAGAGCCATGGATGAGCTGATTGCAGAACGCAAGTCGTCCATCAGCCGTGCAGTGTGCAGTCACGCGAACGCAACAACGCCAGACCCGAAGTCTCAATGCCCACCGAAAAAAGAGCTACCTACCGCATACAAGCACGCACGAAGAGGCGCCGTCGTACTCACCAAGAAACCCATGTCTGTCGCACGGCACAGAAATCACAGGAAAAGTGCGAAAGTCATCGAACGCCGGTCGCAGATGACCCACGACACAGCTTGCTCCGTTAGCTCCATACGCTACGAGACACTGCCACAAAGTCAACTACCCGCAATAAAAGGTCAGCATCTCATTGTCGAAGCTACGGCGGTGGCGAAGAGAGCGGTTGCCCTCAAGCTCAGCGTTGATGAGGCAAAGTACTTGAACCATCACGAGCGGAATAAACGGAGTCTCATGTCTAGGATGTTTGCGAAAGTGGGTGGAAAGAGAGGGTGAATGTATGGCTTCAGAAGAAAGAGGCAGGATACAGCGTAACACAATAACATCTCGTTTGTCAAAACTATGAGTGTAAAGCCAATGGAAACAGCAGTATCTGGGAACCAAACGAGTGACCCGATTCATGTTCATTCAATTCATTTCATAATCATTTTGTGGCCTTGACTGTGACCCTTGCTATATACACGTCTTTTGGTCTAGACTGTTAGACCTCATGTCCACACGTAGAAAGGTGCATTTCGCCTTCCGCAGGCAGCGTCCATCTCGGCTCAACACCGATGATACCACGCTCAGTGATCATGCTAGCGTTCACTGGGCTCTTGGGAATGATCTGCTCACCCCTGGTAGCAAGGATGGAAAGTACATGTGCAGCAGCCTATGTTCGTTAGCAGATGCTCACACTGTGTAATCTGGTTTCTTGGTGCTTACCTTGGCGTTGATGAAAAGTGTCTTCGGGTTGGGGTTGTCAATGGTGTCGCAAGCTTGGTGGTAGCAAGGATCTTGCTCGACACCAGTTCCAGTGTGGAGGCCTCCGACAGGCTTGCCAATGTTCATGAAAGATTGGTAGTCACTTCCACCGGTGAAGCGTGCGGCTGTCACGTTTACACCCTCCTTCTGGAAATGCTCGACGAAGAGCTTCTCAATGGCTGCTGATCCCGGCGCACCCGTGAGGTTGAATGTGCTGCCATCACCGTCGAAAACACCAAAGTAACCGCGGGAAACCATGTCGAAGTTGAGGTATGTGAGGATGTTGTTCGCTTCTGTGGCGTTCAAGTTCTGTGTGTAGTACTTGGATCCAAGCAGACCGTTCTCTTCCGCGCCCCACCATGCGAACCGGACCTTGTTCTTGACGTTGAACCTCCTGAGCGCCTTAGCAATCTCGAGGATGAGTGTGCTGCCTGAGCCGTCGTCGTTGATACCAGCGCCGGCTTGTACACTGTCGAGATGCGCACCGAGCATGATGACGTTAGTTGGGTCACCGTCCTTGGTCTCGGTGAAGACGTTCTGTGTGATGCGTGTTTCCACGGTTTGGGTTTGCTGGAAGTACGCTTCGATAGCTTCGCCGGCCTTGAGGCGTGCGACGAGGGGTTCAGCGTCGGCAAGGTTAATGTAGCCGGTTGACACGTATTCGGGGTTAGGGTTGGACAACGTGCCACCGGTAACATTCGCAGTGTCGCTTGCGTAGATGATTACTGCAGAAGCACCAGCGGCAGCGGCAGGCTTCATGCGCCCGGCGAGGGTAGTACCATCAGGGCAGGCCCCTCTTTGCACCAAAACGATCTTGCCCTCAACATCCAAGTTGTCGTAGGCTTCGTTTGTGCAACCTTCGGGTCCAGAAGCACCCAGTACAAGCGGAAGCGTCAATCCTTCCGGAGTGGTCGATGGCGAGTAGGACAATCCAATGACACGGTAAGAGCTGTTGCTCACACTAAATTCAATTGACTCAATCTTGTTGAAAAGAGCCGGGAAATCCTGAGTCCATGTCTTGAAGTGTGTGTTCTGGGTTTTGGCGAGCATGTAGTCAACAGATGCAGCGTAGCCCGGAAGACCGAAAGCACGGTTGCCGCCATTTGCTTTTGCGATGGAGTCAAAAGCTTTGAGGTTACCCATCAACCTGGAAAAATCAGTGTGTCGTCGGATCAACGAGTAAACGCCCGTACTTCTCAGTCTTGATCTCAGCCTGGATTGGTCCAGATGATACCATAGGCCGGGGTCGCACAGCAGCGAATGCTTGCGCGGCGCCCGCAAGGACGATAGCACTGGAAACCTTCATGTTGTCACTTTAATCGGCTAGCTTCTCCGGACTCAGATGTGACGAGCGTGCGAGTAACGTCGCCCATGTTTAGGTGGCGGCGCCGAACTCATATACGCATCTTTCCCGCCACTGGACGTTCCGGCTTCCTGGGTAAATGCAGCTTGTTTGAGCGCGGAACACCGTGCCTGGCCCACTCTTATCATTGTCTTGCAGGTGCTGTGTCCGGAAAAGAAGGTCACAAGAGAGTAGATCGGTCTTTGCCAAGTTGCCAAGGGGCAGACATTGATACCTGCCCAAAGGGCGATAGACTGGCTTGGCGGAAAGGTTACCATCGTCACGAATCCAATCTTTTCTATCGTAAGGTGACCAGAGAAGTCGATATATCCGAACGGTCTCTCGTTGACCGAATGAAAGCGATGCGAGCTTCACCGATGCGTACGTTCCGCGTCATGGCTCCTGGGTATTGATGGTGTTGGCGTGTCCGAGCGGCGGACTGAATATGAATCTGGGACTATGATCCATGATGACAAAAAACTGCGACTGGAATGCTCTTGGTGACTTTATGCGTCTGGTTGGATTCCACTGTTGCGAGGAATGTGATGTATCTCATCTTGACGTGAGTAAGGCGAAGCCAGCATATATAGCTCGCGAAGGGCGCGAGTACCTCGATGTCAAGGTCCGTCTCTGGGCGCTTCCAAGCTCATGAACAGAGTAAATATCAGGAAGCGTACTTGGTAAGAAATCTGCATCGGAGATAGATGTGAAAGTATTAGAACTATTAGGCGAGATTGAATATCAACGGTTTCAAGATGTAAGATGTTACCTTTCACCATGCAGCAACGGCGCTCGCTCGCTATCACCAGCAACGCCACTCCCATTGGCATCATCAAGCCGCTGGTCTCTCTGCGTCTTTCTGTCTCTCAGAACGAAAGACAAACCCATGGCGAGCAGGAAACCCTGGAGGATGCCCGTGAAGATGAACAAGCCCCAAGCACTCCAGCCTCCAGGTCCTAGCCTCGCATATAGACTTGCGGCAAAGACGAAGCTCCCCGGTGTCTGAATGCACATCATAGGGATGGATAGACTTCCGGTTTCCTGCAGTCTCCAGGTCATGAAGATCTGTGGTATGTATTGTATGGCGGCAAGCACCGTAGCAAGCAAGCCGAGGAAGTTTGCCCATCCGCGAACGTGTGAAGGGAGCGCGTATACGAAAACGACGGAGCCGATGAATGCGACGACGAAGAAGGCGAGTGAAACACCTAGGACGAGGACGGCCTCTTTCCATGTGGGCATGTCGGTGTCTTGTTCTTCTTCTACAGCTGGTGAGCTGCCTCGAGGGAAGAAGATGAGGAAGAGTAGCATGCTGTGAGTTATTAGTGTCTCGTATGCTGGACGATTGGAAGTGCCGTACATGAAGAAGAAACAACTCCACTGCACCCCGATCTGTACTATTCCGAGCATAGCTGCTGCGCATGGAAAGCTTCCAATCTCCTTACAGCATCCCATATCCCTCGTGCTTTCCGGCAGGGTCAAGATGTTCGCGATGCTAGCGGTTCCCGACACAGTCCCCAGGAGGACAAACATGGGGCTTAGACCACGCGATGACCGACGCGATATGATCTTATAGTGCTGTGGAAGGTAGGATACGAGTATTCCGACGACTATGAAGCTACGCGACGGGGATTAGCTGGGTTGACATGCGACGAACAGGGCGGCTTACACGGAGACGCCAAAGTTGACCAGGTCGGGATACGCGAGTTCGGTACATCTTGGGTCGTCTGAATACATCGTGGCAGAGTAGATTGTTGTATACGAGGGCGTCTTATTGCTACATTTGCTATGACTGAAGCGCAGCGGTGTCAGTCGCCGCCTAGGGAAGCATGTGACGTAGCAAGAAGCGCACGCGTCGAGTGGACGCGGAGGCGACGGCTAGCCCCGAGCGCTCCTGCCTCGGCTGCGCGTACCATCCGCATCAACTATCGCGAAGCCGACGATGCCACAACACTCATCAACCCCAACCCCATGATCATCCGATCTCCCAGTCCCTCTCACAGGCCGACATGGAGTTCCTCCCCGCCCTCCAGCATGGCATAGACGACCTCAAGCCCTCGCTCTTCGAACTCCTTTCCGAGCAACAGCTCGCATCGCTCCTGCCCCCGTCGCTGCGCTACCTCCTCGCCATCACAACACCCCGATACCCACGCTACCTGCTCCCCATACTCAATTCATTCGATGAAGTCTACGCGCTGCTTATGCTGCTCGTGGAGCGCCACTTCCTTCGCACATACGGCGGATCATTCACCGAGAACTTCTACGGCCTGAAGCGCGCCCGGGTGCTGAAAGTGCGAGGAGGTGAGATACCGCGCGCACAATTGGGCGCATCGGACAGCGTACGCGAGGCTGTAAAGCTGGGCAGTGGCGATATATGGAAGAATCTCGCCGTCCTGGTCGGCCTCCCATGGCTGAAGAGGAAGTTTGACGAGGGCTACGATGTTCACGCTGCGCATGCCAACCTTTTGGGACCCGGGTACAACCGCGACAGAGAAGGATTAAGAGCAGGGGCGAGCGTGAAGGAGAGGCTGATGCACTACTACAAGTGGTTTCTACGCTACATATACCCGAGTGTAAATGCCGCCTACTACTTCTCCTTGCTGGCCTTCAACATGGCCTACCTCTTTGATGGGACCAAGTATCATTCGCCGTTCATGTGGCTGATCGGCTCGCGTATACGAAGACTGGGAGAGGCGGATCACAGGGCGATTGAGATTGCGACGGCGCCGAGGAAGGTTGGCCCGGCGCGGCCTGGAGAAGGCGGATCTATCTTCTCGCCAAGGAACATTGCGAGGAGCATAGAGCCGCGCTTGTTGAGTTCGCTGAAGATTCTTCTTCCAACCAGTATCTTCGCGCTCAAGTTCCTAGAATGGTGGCATGCTTCAGACTTCGCCCGACAGCTATCGAGGAAAGCCGCCGAGAACATCGACCTACCACCGCCAATATTACCTTCGTTACCGCCATCCGCGAAGCAGCAACCTTCGAAACAGGGAGAGTCTTCCGAGAAGGCACGTCCGACATCGTCTTTGTCGGACCAACCTAAACGCATCGACCCTCCGATATCCTCAACCACCCTTCTCCCAATCCTCACTGTACCCATACCACCCTTGTCAACGTTATGCCCCATCTGCGTAACACCCATCATAACACCCACAGCCTCGCCTACGGGATATGTCTATTGCTACACATGCAT